ACAGATAATTCAAGAGTTGGTCTGTGAGCTCTTAGAAAAGGATGCTGTGATTATGAAAACCCAGCAAGGGTTTCTCAAAAACAAGTCATACCACACAAATCTCATTTCTTTTTTTGATGGGAGTTACAAGCTTGATGGATCAGGGGAATTCTGTGGACACAGTGTATCTTGACTTTATTAAGGCTTTTGACAAGAATCCCATATATCCTTATAAGGAAGTTGGTAAAATGAGGGTTAGATAACTGTTAGGTGGATTTGTAGCTAGTTGTCTGACCAAACCCAATGAGTGCTCCCTAATGGTTCCATGTCATCCTGGAAAAAAGTGTCAAGTGGGGTGTCGCAGCCTACCTAGTGGCAGTGAAGGCAGCAAAGAAGGCGTATATTGCTGCCTCCATTGCACCCTCATTATGTAATCCGACAGAGCTTTTCCTGGTTGTACAGGGCCTTCTGTCTGGAGCACAATCTAGTCCTGTTGTGTTGGGTGAGTTTTAGTTGGTAAGGCTTGAGGAGGTAGACAAGGTGCCTTCTCTGAGGTGGTTCCCCATGTGTGGAATGCTCTCCCAAGCGAAGTTCGCCTGGCGCCTTCATTATACACCTTTAGGCGCCATTGTTGTTCAACATCTTTATAAATGACTTGGAATTGAGGTGGTGCTCATCAAACGACAACAAACTGGGAGGGGTAGTGCCCCAGAAGACAGAATCAAGATTCAAAATGGTTTTAACAGATTGGAGAACTAGGCCCAAAGTAACAAAATAAATTTGATTAGAGACAAATGTAAGGTTCTGTACTTAGGCAGGAAGAACCAGATGCACAAATATACAATGGGGGACACCTGGCTTACACTGTTCGAAATTAACTAGTCGCCAGTCCTTTTTTGTGACTCAAGAGAGCCATCTAGCAACCAAATTAAGATTTGCAGTCACCTTGTTTGCCAGTGAAATAAATCTCCCCTGCAGGTGAGCAACTAAGCTTTTCCATGCTACTCCCCTGAAGACTTTTGATGTGCTAAAGAGACTCCAAGGTGGCACTGTTTGCATAAGTAAACAAATAACCTGCAAGGCTCTCTTGGGGGTAGGGAGCAGGAGGGGAGATTTAAATCCCAAGCAGGAGACAAAGCAAACTCCCATAGAGCCCACCCACCCCCACTGCTCCCTCTGTCTCTTTTTGCTTTTGTTCCACTGTTAATGAGGCACCAGGTTTCAGCTTACTTTATTTGACAATAAGTTTACTTTGTTTGTTTGTTTGTGGACATTTCTTTCTTGTTTACATAATGAGGTGCTGGAAGGCTCCTTGGGAGAGGTTTGGGACCTCCTTTCTTCCCCCAATATTTAGTAGAAATATTATGGCATTTTAAAACTTAACACATTTAAACCCACTTAGTAAGTCTGGCATCTCGTTGTCCCATTGGCTGGGACAAGAAAACACTCTTGAGAGGACATGGGCACCCGTCAAGGGAGAGGGGGAGGAAGGTGCTTACATTAATCTTTTAATGTTTTAAAAGATTGTCAGATTCTGGATATTAAAAGGAAGGCCTGCAAAATGCACTAACGTTTACACAGTTAGTTTGCCACAGTAAATGTGGCATCCCAGGTACCCAGAACCTTTCATGTAACAGAACTTTAAAGGCTCGGGTATACAGGCAGTCCTGCAAAAATAAAAAAAATTTAAAAAAGAAGAAGTAAAAAAAAAGTTATCTTGTGAATGGAGACTACTGCTCAAAATTAACGAATCCCAATCTCATTTGCTTGGATCTATTTCAGGAAGATCTATTTCAGTGTAGAAATGGTTAGGATTGTGCTGTTAGGCCTGTTCTTCTAAGAAGTTTGGTTATAACAGGCATATTTAACTGTGACTGCAGTACTTGCTGAAGCTGCGACACATATTGAGCGCTCTCTCTCTCTCTCTCTCTCTCACACACACACACAAGTATTTATAAATGCTTACGGTTAGCCACTATTGCTGAGGCTGAGCCCCATTTATGTTTGTGGTGTCAAATTAAGAACTGCTATTAAAAATGTGTTATTAACAACCTGTCACTGATATGAATTGTGTATTGGTTTATGTGCTTCAAAAAAATAAATAGAAAGTGCTGCTGCAATTGGAGGGGGGGGTGTGACTAGCCATTCTGCTTTTACCCCTGTAACCCAGGTTCCAGGAGCCATTTGGCTCCTAGCTTTTCTATCTCAGTTTCTAACACTTCTGGCTTACTAGTACTACATGTGAATCAGATCTAGGAGTCTTAATGGACCACAAGCTTAAGTCAACAGTGTAATGCAGCAGCAAAAAATACTAATGCTATTCTAGACTCAGTGGGCGTAGCGTGGGTTGTCAGCACCCGGGGCAAGGCAAGTAATTTGCGCCCCCTAACCCGTGGATTTGCGCCCCCTAACCCGTGGATTTGCGCCCCCCAACCCGTGGATTTGCCCTAACCCCAGATGTTGCGCCCGGTGCGGCCGGCCCCCCCTGCACCCCCCACGCTACGCCACTGTCTAGACTGCATCAACAGAAGTATAGTGTCCAGATCAAGTGATAGTACCTCTCTATTCTGCTTTGGTCAGCCCAACCAGATGATCAAGGGTCTGGAAACAAAGCCTTATGAGGAATGGTTGAAAGAATTGGTAAGTTTAGCCTGAATAAAAGGAGACTGAGGGGAGATATGATAACCATCTTCAAATATCTTAAGGGTTGTCACATGGAAGAGGGAACAAGCTTGTTTTATTCAGCTCCAGAGGGTAGGACATGAATCAATGGCTTCAAGTTACAAGTTACAAGAAAAAAGATTCCGATTAAACATCAGGAAGAACTTTCTGACAGTAAAAGCTGACTGACAATGGAACAGACTCCCTTGGGAGATGGTGGGCTCTCCTTCCTTAGAGGTTTTTAAGCAGAGGTTGTATGGCCATCTGTCAAGAATGCTTTAGTTGAGATTCCTGCATTGCAGGGGGTTGGACTAGATGACCCTTGGGGTCCCTTCCAACTCTAGAATTCTATAACTATTGCTCTACCATTGAGATTTTCCACACCACCAACATCCTATAATGCACTGCAGGTGAGCTACATGGCCAGAGGTTTAGGATTATGATCTTAGGCCGTACAAAAGCTCAATTAATTGCACATCAGGCAATATACAAATTTCAGAACGGGAAACCTGACCATGTACAGAAAAACAGAGCCCAGTGTCTTAGGAAAACTCCAGAACACAGACCTGCCTGCATTCCCATGTAATTCACTGGGCAATCTGTTTTTTCACAACAGAATTCACAAGATGGCCTCTTGGAGTTCTGCTTGGGCCACATGTAAATGGGCCCAAACCTCAAAACTATAAATTGCACCTGCAAAACTACAGGAGGTTCAGCTCAGTTCTTGGGGCACCAGCACAGCACAGCTCCCAATAGTCATAATCTTAACAATTTTGCCCAAAGAGAATTTTCAACTTGACAGTGCTGGAAAACTGCTAGTAACATTACACAGCAAACACTTGAAAGAAAATAAGATGCAGAAACCCGAGCCACTTGTAGAATCAATAATGCCATCAAGCAGAGGTGGGTGAAGGAGCCAGAGAAGGAGAGTGGCAGCTAGGAATCCATGCAAAACATCTGCTTAATAATGAAACCTTCAAAAAGCATCTACTGCATTTCCCCCCACCCCATTGCTGCCTCCTCCTCCAGAGGAGTCAGTGTGTGCACACTCTCTCTCTCTCTCTCTCTCTCACACACACACACACACACACACACTCACTCACCTGCAAACCCTTCGGGATTCCCTTTGCTTTCTACACCTTTGTGGATACACAGAGAGAGCATCCTGCTCAAATGGCGGTGGGGTGGGAGGGAACACAAACCTGCTACCTAAAGCTCTTCAGCTATGGCAGAGCACTCCAGGAATGCAAGGCAAGGTCTCCTGACAAATAGCAGAGACTAGGGGGGAGGGGGGTTGCAAACTTCTCAAGCCTTTCCACAGCATACACTGCCCAACAGACTTTCCTACCACAGTTCACAACAGCATGCATCACACACAATTTGTTCAGGTAATATTTTTCAGCCATTGCCCACAGCTGCCTCTCTTCTTCTTCTTTTGCAAAGCAATCCAGACACCAACAAAAAGGGCAAGTCTGTGAGTGCAGCCAGCCAGCCAGCAGACCAGCGTTCAGCAGAGAGCTCACATAGGAAGTGTTGATTCACATGCATGCATGCAAGGAGCTGATGTCATTTCAGTAACTGGGGTGGAAGGTATGTTTTTCCAGCAGTAGGTAAGGGGAGTGGGGGAGGGAGACTCCAGAACACTCAAGAGTCTTACATGCCAGAGGCTGTTTACAACACGTATTTTAAAGGGGGGGGCAGATAAAACCTGTGGAATAAGCCCATTGCTACACACCAGGGAGTGATGCTTTGGTACAGAAATTAAAACCCTAGACTGAAGAATGGGAAGCCAACAGGAAGTGCAGCCAATATGACTGCAGTGTACATTTCCAGACAAGGCTCTTCTAAGTCAAAGAGAGATGCAGAAATGAGTGTACATAAACACTGAGAAACACACTCCCTTGAGTGTTTTCTTGGGGGGGGGGAGCATACATCCAAGAAGATGGATTGTTCCCTCTTAAGAGATTCCTCCTCAAGATTTGAGGGGTGAGGCAATTAATTACCTTCCTGTAACTAGCACTAAGTAAAATCTCTCTCTGCAGTTACAACCCCGTTTAGAATTAAGAGCCAGTCAAGGGGTGCAGTTCCATCTTTATCTTCTCCAGGGCAACGGCAACAGGAAAATAAACAGAATCTGTTCACCTATCAGTTCAATTTTTCAAATCAATCCCAAACATCTTTTCTGTGCCCCTCCCCCCCCAACCACCACACAAACAAACAAACAAACACACACACACACACATAGACACACACAAAGGCACTACTACAGTAACAGGGAAAGCAAGATCAATAGAGGCTACTGAATCTGTCAGCACTAAATTGGGGAAGGGTCTGGAGGAAAGAGATGCCCATCCTCTTACCTGCTTTTGCGCCTGCGATGGGGCTTCTCTGCCAGGCCTGTGGTTCTGGAGCGGGGGCAGGGAGAGAGAGAAGGCAGTGACAGAGGGCTGCGGGGACAAACAAGGACAGGACGACAACCCCACTCCACCCAAGACGAGCACACATCAACAGCCACCTCTACAATCACAGTTTACATACTTGCCTGCGTTTGACAGAACATTACATTCAAAGACATCTTAAGCATTGGAGAGCAATGGGGATCAATGGGTGCAAAGCAAAAGGCTTCTCTCCTTAGGAGATCATACGACTCCCACATGAGACAGGTGTCACCCTTATTTGGAGTCTTTTCTTCCCTATACACACAGAAGCAAAGAACGGATCACTTACACCTTTCCTAGCCCCTATTTTGTAGTGACTTTGCTCCAGGTGGCACTGGGTAACAGCCATGCCACCCCCTCTTGAGGACTCCAAACTCTTTACCCATCAAGTGCCCATACCTATTCATAGGTCACTTCACCTTGCACCCAGTGCAACAATATCCCTCCACTCAATATATGTCACACACCTTTGACCCAAAGATGAGCTGTTCCTTGGCCAATGAGACTGACACCTAAAGCAGTATCCTCCACAGCTTGGCACCCATCCTACACCTATTCAAGGTCAACGACAGCCCACCAACCATACCTATGACCCAAATCTTTCTCTTGACCATCACCTTACCAACACCACCAGCATCCACATGAAGCCTGTATCTTCAATGGTCCCATCCCAAGCCTCCTGTTCCCACAACATCCTACAAAGCAAACTGTCTATATCCTCTGCACCCCAAATTCAGGATAATTCAGTGCATAAATTCCACCTGTCACATACAGTGCACCTACAAGCAACACCCCAAACATTAAACTCTCAATCCAAATCCCTCACAGTACAGTTATTCCAACACCTCCAACACCTCTGCCCCCAACTTCCAACCCCACTCCCCCATATCCAGAGTTCTCATACCACAAATCTCTGAACTAACCACATTGCCCCACTCCCCCACACCTTTCTACCCCAACCCCCTAACTCTTCCCAGCACCCTCATGCTTCTCTAATTCCCAATATTACACAACCCAAACAAACCTCCAAGGCAGCCTCAACCCCTTAAAAATGTACCGTACTTCCCTTTCAACTCAGCCTCTACTCACCCTTTAGACCCCAAACCCATAAAACAACTCTAACCCTTCTGGTGCCTTCTCCCACTTCCTACCCCTGGCTCCTCAACCCCCAATTCTCTCTAGGCTCCAACCCATCACTTCTCTACCAACATCCCTTCATACCCCAAACCCTTCCTAATTCTGCAGACAAACTCCAAATGTGAGGGCCATATTCTCTCATAAGCCACCCTTTTGGGGCAATGTTCCTGTTATGCCTGGGGCCATAGGAAAAAGTGGAATGCAATCATCAACCTACCACACTCTTTTACTTCTAACTCGCACACAACCCCCCTCAAAGGAACCTCACCACCCCAAGTCATGCTCCCCCAAGTCATGCACCTCAACCCACATTTTTCCAGACACCCCACAACTCAGCCCCTCAAGGTGAAGGCCTCTCTCATTGTCCCTATCCTTCACTCCTCTACCCCTGTTCATGCCTAAGCCAAGTAACCCTCAGCACAGCCCGCAAACCAACTCAACCCCTAATTCACACATCCCAAGACAACCCTCAATCCATCCAATAGCCCTTCGCCCCTCGTGCATCTCGTACCCCAAAACTCCTCACTATTCCCCCTTTTCCCCCAACCCCCCACATCTCAGTCTTCAATTGCAATTCACTCTATAGACCCCAAGCTTCCTTTCAGTAACCCTGGACCCCTCCCCATGCCCCCCATGTTAGCATACAATCCCCTAACATACAGTAGTCCACAGCCCATGATAATGTTCCACTCCTTATTCTCACGTATCTAACCCCCTCCCACTAGGCAATACCCCTCAAATCAGATGACCCTCCCATACCCCCAAAGCCCTCCCCATACCCCTCCCCATGCCCGCTCTCTCCTCCAGCCTCCTCATGCCCAACTCCGGCGCCCCAATCCCTGCCCAGACGACTCCCAGTCCATCCATGCTCACCCTTCTCATGCCCCGGACCCTTCGCCATCTCCCTTTCTCAGCCCCCCAACTTCCACACGCCCTGCGCCCCACAAGCTCCCAGCAGAGCCTCAAGGCATCGGGAAGCCCTTTCCCCCAACCCCCCCCCCCGCACCACCATTTCCCCTCCTCAGCCCCACCACGTCCACACGACCTAGACGCCCCCAATGCACCAGAAATCCCACTGCCCCTCACCATCGCCCCCATCTTACACACGCCAAAAAAAAAGACCTCGCTGAAAGGGACGCTTCCCACAACCAACCCCACACCCGCTCCACCTTCGGCCCCTCCCACGCGTCGCTTACCTGGAGGCCGGGCCGGTGCGGGGCTGGCGAGCCGCCCCTCTCACCATCCGCGCTCCCGAGCGAGGATGGAGCTGCGGCAGCGGCGGCAGCAGCGGCGGCGGCGGCGGAGCCTGCTCGCTCCCTCCCTCGCTCGCTCGCTCTCGGCTGGAAGGGAGCGATGCCTCCACCTCAGCCTAACCTGGGCACGGCCTCGCTCGGCCCGCCCCCGCCGCGCCACTCCGGCGCCCTCATTGGCCTCGCGGCCCAGGAGGAAGCGTCCGATTGGCTGGGCTCGCCGCCGCTCTCGCCTCTGAGTCTCCAGGCACTCGCCCTCAGAAGGGAGAAGCGGGAGGGGGGACGGGGGGAGTGAGGGGTGTCACAGAGCGCCATCTTGAGGGCAAAGCGAGGCGTTGCTCTGAAAGGAGAGGCAGGTTTAACGTATCCTGCTAATCTGTTTTAACGGGTGTTTTTTTCCTTTCAATTTTGATATCTAACTTTTGATATTTTAAAAAGTTGTTGTAACCCGCCCTGGGACAAGCTAGTGAAGGGCGGGTAATAAATGTATATGATGGAGGTGGTGGTGGTGATCATTCCTGCGAACAGCAGGGAGGAATGGCTGAGTGGGATGGGTGTGGGATTTTCCATATACAGTATAATCTGATATCTTTATAATCAGGATATGCTAATATAGTGAACTCAGTTATCCCAAGTGTGAGTCCATTTGCAGCCGAAACGTAAACCACCATGCACAAGAACAGGCTTGAGGGGGGGACCCTCAAATTTTGCAGAAGTATAAAAAAATTATCTGGGGGTTGGGGGGTAGAGAAACCCCAAAACAGCACAAAGAGGTGTGAGTATGCTCGGTGGCAGATAATGCTGAGGCATGCACACGTTGGTGGGGGGAAGAAAACCAAGGGGAAGTTGAATGGAGTATCCTGGACCCCTTAGCCAACCCAGAATGAAACCACTGGAAGAAGTAAGAAGCCAAGTTACTGGCCGGCTACAGTATCACCAATTACATGATATGTTTAATTAGATAAGAAAAATTGTTTTTTGGACCAAAGCTCCTCAATCTGAAAAAGAGCTATTGACGAACATGGAAAAATTATTGTCCAAAATGTATAAACTAATATTGTTGTTGTTTAGTCGTGTCCGACTCTTCGTGACCCCATGGACCAGAGCACGCCAGGTACTCCTGTCTTCCACTGCCTCCCGCAGTTTGGTCAAACTCATGTTGGTAGCTTTGAGAACACTGTCGAACCATCTCGTCCTCTGTCATCCCCTTCTCCTTGTGCCCTCCATCTTTCCCAACATCAGGGTCTTTTCCAGGGAGTCTTCTCTTCTAACGAGGTGGCCAAAGTATTGGAGCCTCAGCTTCACGATCTGTCCTTCCAGTGAGCACTCAGGGCTGATTTCCTTAGGTTTGATCTTCATGCAGTCCATGGGACTCTCAAGAGTCTCCTCCAGCACCATAATTCAAAAGCATCAATTCTTCGGCGATCAGCCTTCTTTATGGTCCAGCTCTCACTTCCATTCATCACTACTGGGAAAACCATAGCTTAACAACTAATTATTGTAATGGGAAACAAAAGATGAGCTGGTTAAAGTGTCGAATACCCACTGGGCAGTGGATATAGGATATAATATAGACTTAAACCTCTGGGAGAAACTTTGGAAGAATGATCTGAAATTTACTGCATGCCACACACTGAAAAAGAATTATATGAAAATTATCCATAGATGGTATTTAGCTCAGATTGGCTAAAGTGTATTATGTGGAATCGGACTTATGTTGGAAATGCAAAGAAGTAGAAGGAACTTTCTCCCACGTGTGGTGGACATGCAAAAAAGTTAAAGTATATTGGGAAATGATATATAATGAGATGAAAAAAATGTTTAAAACAACTCCCCCCCCCCAAAAAAAAACTAGAGGCATTTCTGTTAGGAATTGTTCAGACAGCTGTTCCCAGGAGTCAGAAGAACTTAATTCATGTATGCTACAGCAGCGGCTCAGAATTTGTTAGCCCAAAATTGGAAAGTGAGATTGGTCCCTAGTAAGGAAGATTGGCAACTTAAGATAATAGAATATGCAGAATTAGCAGATCTAACAAGTAGAACAAGAGAACAAGAAGAACAGGTATTTAAAGAGTATAAAAATTTTGTCGAGTATATTGAAAATAATTGTGCACAGTTAAAAACGCTGGCAGTATTAAAGTAATTCAACAGTATAAATATTTTGAACTGATGTAAGATAGAAAAATTAAATTAGAAGGATATATTTAAATGTGCAGGAATGGTGGATAAGTTAAATGAACCTTGGAAGGTGTGGGAAGTCAATGAACCCATGGTATAATAAAATATGTTTAATTTGAAATGTAAAATTTGAAAAATTAATAAACATTATTATAAATAAATAAATAAATTCATAATGCATCTCGATGTCCAGAAGATTGTCCCCTTCCAAACATTAAGAAAGAGGGAAACAGAGAAAGAAAAAAACTAGGAACAGAGGAATGTAGAAAAAAATCCTTATATTGAGTCAGTCAAGCCATTGGCTCGTTTAGCTTAGTTTAGTGGTTAAAAGGTAAAGGACCCATGACAGTTAAGTCCAGTCGCGAACGACTCTGGGGTTGCGGTGCTCATCTCGCTTTACTGGCTGAGGAAGCCGACGTTTGTCTGCAGACAGTTTTTCCGGGTCATGTAGCCAGCATGACAAAGGCGCTTCTGGCAAAACCAGAGCAGTGCCCGGAAACACCATTTACCTTCATTTTGATGTGCTTTCGAACTGCTAGGTTGACAGGAGCTGGGACCGAGCAATAGGAGCTCACCCCATCGCGGGGATTCCGATTGGCAAGCCCAAGAGGCTCAGTGGTTTTGACCACAGCGCCACCCGGGTCCCTAGTTTAGTGGTTAGACACAGCCATTCTCAAACTTGGATTCGTATGTTGTTGAACTACAGCTCCCAGCATTCCCAGCCAGTATGGTCAGGGATGATGGGAGTTGTCATTCAAGAACATACAGGGACCCAAGGTTGAGAAAGCCTGAGTTAAAGGATTGGACTAGGAGCTTGGAGATGAAATCTCCACCTGGCCAATATGAAGCTCACTGGGTACCCACTGGCCAGTCATCAGCTCTTAGCCAAACCTACATCACAGGGTTGTTGTGAGCATATTTTACAGAGTGGAAGAGCTATGTATACACCTGGAGCTTCTTGAAGGAAAGGTGAGCTATAAATAAATAAGTAAACAATACATGTCCCTTACCCTGACTGGCAGCAGCTGTCCAGGGTTTCAGACAGGTTTATCTCCTAACCCTAACTGCAGATGCCAGGCATGATAATGATTCATTGAATTTCTTACCCTTGCTTCACCAAAAAGGTCCCAGAGCAAGTTACAGCAATTGAAAAATACAATAATTAAAACTGTTGAAAACAAATCAGTCACCAGAATTTTACCTGGAATCTTCTGCATGCAAAGCTGATGCTGTATAGCCAAGCTGCAGCCCTTCCTCTAAAGTAGCCGTTTGTCCTGCTGTACAGAGGGTAGTCCTCTATTTGAAAGACTGGCAAGGAACAGTTCTCTATTTTCCAGGCTGTCCAGTGCAAGTCCAGTTTAAAGGATCATAAGAAGGGAAAGCAGCATTGGTCTTTGTTTTAAAAATTTTGGGTACACACACATAGCAGACACACCACAGAAAACCAATCATTCACCCTTCAAATTTAAGAAAAAATAATTGAGGAAAATTACACATTATTTTAGCACACAGAACAATCCCAAAAGCCATCTTGGCTTTTCAAATTATGGTACTCTAAATATTTCCTATGAAGAAGGAGATATATTGGAGAAACCTTTCCCAGTACAGTAGTTATTTTCACTTAAGAATCCTTCAAATCCTGTCTTAAAGGCATATTTGTGTATGAACAGGGTGGGCTTGTGAACTGGATTCAAGAACTAAAGTATTTACAATCACAAAAGAATGGCCAGTCTGCCCAGGCATAGCTGTCAAAGTTTCCCATTTTTTAAGGGAAATTCCCTTATTCCGAATAGGATTCCTCGCAAGAAAACAAAAAAGTTGACAGCTATGTGCCCAGGTAATGCAATCAGCAAAACATTATCAGGTATCGTGGCAGCCAGGAGAGAAGTCGCACTCAAATTTCTGTTGCAGACTGCCTCCTGTGATGTATGTCCCTTGGGGAGTTGGGCAGCAAAAGCCACCCCCACCCCCCGATTTTCCTACAACACCTTGGTTACCCATTGACAGTGAGCACTAGCAGTGTTGCATTAATGCAGTCTAGAGATGCAGCCTCAGTGCAACATCTTGTGTGCATCCATGCCACAGTGTTGTCCACATCATAATGATCTTGCATTTCTATATTGTAAGCAGCCCTGAGAGCCTTTGATGAAGTGTGGAATATAAATCTAACGAATAAAATTATAAATAAATGACTTATGATGTTATCCACAAGGATTGGGCTGTGAGAAAGCTCATGTAGTCTTCCTGTTAGAATCCTCAATGCTAAGCAAATTTGCTCAAGCAGAGGTGGGATTTATTTATTATTAAATTTCTTGACCGCCTACCATCCAAGGATCACAGGGCATTTTACAATATAAAAACACAAAAATACATAATGTTACAGATTTGGGGGTACCAGGCTGTTCTTATGTTCTTAAGGTCACATTCCAGCCAGGCCAAATAACTCAATGAGGCTGGTAAGAGGTCCAGCCTGGTGAGAGCTGTGCTTTGAATAGGGTGTGTGGTCTGAGAGGCCTGAGAAGCAGAGAGAGAGGCCCAAAGGCCACATTTCCCCACTCCATGCCTGAGGTCCCCCCCCCCCCGCATACCCATGTAAAGAGTAATGTTCAGGAGAACTCAATTCCAATGAAACAACACACACAGCATCAGACTGCACATTGCCATTTTAGATGTTCCTGCTAAGTATATCATAACCGATGCATGACAAATTCCCAAGGAGACAATGATCCCGAGATGCGTGTCAACAGTTGCTAGTTGAAAAATGCTAAATCTTGATTTCTGAAGATAATATTCATGATTGCATTGTATCATTGTGTTTTTTATGAGACCATCTCCAGAAGAGTAGCAGTACTGTTAAAGGTAAAGGGACCCCTGACCATTTTGTCCAGTCGTGGCCGACTCTGGGGTTGTGGCCCTCATCTCGCTTTATTGGCCGAGGGAG